TTTTTTTTTTTTTTTTTTTTTTTTTTTTTTTTTTTTTTTTTTGAAAATATTAAATACTAAAAATATGAAGGAAATATCACCTCATTATAAATTATCTTCTATAGGGTTTGGCATTTACTTTGAAAGAAAGAATATCTTTGGGTATACATGGTTTACAGCCTCCAAGATTCAAAACTCAGGAAGAACAATTGGCTCTGTGCAAAGCTTCAGTTATGAAGTACACAGAGGATTTAAACCGTTATCTTTATCTCGTAGAACTGCAGGTAGAATAAAAAAGAATTCTATGGTGTAAAAAAAAAAAAAAAAAAAAACAAAAAATATATATACAATTCAAATTGTAAGTAGTGGCGTGTGAAAGTTCCTCTAATTATTTTACATCATTTTTCGATATATTTCGTAGGAAAGAAACGAGAGATTATTTTTCCGTCTATTGAGCGAGAACATCGAACAAATGATGCCAATTGTTTATACTCCTACCGTTGGATTAGCCTGTCAAAAGTTTGGCGTTATCTATCGCAGACCTCGTGGATTATTTATTACGATATATGATAAAGGTCATATTTATGAAATCTTAAACAACTGGTTCGTATCTCATAAAACTGCAAGTAAATTTATCTTTAAAATATCTTGTAATTGATTTTATTCTTCGAGTAAAAAAGTAAAATTCAAAATTCAATAATATAGATTAATTTGCTAAGATTAATACATCAATTAATTTCGAAATATATATATATACATATTCTAATTATTCATATAAAAAATAGAATGACTTGTCATTATATGTAAAAGAATGATAAAGAGAGAAATATATGCGTTTATAGTACAAATAGTTAAAATAGAATTTTTTACATGCATATATATATATATATATGCATGTATTATGTATATATATATGTATTGTGTATATGCATGTATTATGTATATATATATATGTATTGTGTATATATATATATATATATATATATATATACACAATCGCACGAATAATGCGAAATAATTATATTTATATTTTTTGTGTTAGGCCCGAGCAAGCAGTTCGAGCGATTTGCGTAACAGATGGAGAAAGAATTCTCGGTCTCGGCGATCTTGGAGCTTGTGGAATGGGAATTCCAGTAGGGAAATTAGCTCTTTATACAGCTCTCGCCGGTATAAAACCGCATCAATGCCTTCCAATTACGATCGATGTTGGCACAAACAATGAACAATTGAGAAATGATCCTCATTACATTGGGCTTAACAAGCCCAGGAGCCATGGCGCGGAGTACGATGAATTGATCGATGAATTTATGGCCGCTTGCGTGAAAAAATATGGTCAAAATGTACTCATTCAAGTACGCTCTTTACGTCTTTCTTATTATTCTTTGCTTGATCCTTTTTTTTATTATTATTAAAAAATTATTTATTATTATTATTATTATTTAATAATATATTATATTTATATATAAAAAAAGAAAATTCGTCCTCAACAACGGCGACAAATATTTTATACTTGTACATACTGTTACAGTTTGAAGATTTTGGAAATCACAACGCTTTCCGTTTCTTGGATAAATATCGTGACAAGTATTGCACGTTTAACGATGATATACAAGGTACTGCTGCAGTTGCGGTTGCTGGAATTCTAGCATCGGAAAGAATAACTAAGAAAAGAATATCCGAAAACAAGTTCGTATTTTTAGGCGCCGGCGAGGTATCATAAGTTATTATTTTTGCAAACACCTTTGTTTCTGTATTTTTGTTTTTAAATTTACGTTACTTGATGCAGGCAGCTATTGGGATAGCTAATCTTTGCGTGAAAGCGATGGAAGTAGACGGTTGCACAACTCAGCAAGCTCGTGATAATATTTGGATGATGGATATTGATGGATTGCTGGTTCATGATCGGCCGGAAGGTAACCTGGAAGGTCATAAGATCTGGTACGCGAAAAAATATAAAGTCATGAAATCGTTATTCGACGTCGTAAAGGAAATAAAACCATCGGTTTTGATCGGTGGGTAAATCTTTATTTGATCGACATTGTTGAATTTCTCGTCTATAAAGTGAAAATATTTTTATAGGTGCTTCAGCAGCAGCAGGGGCATTCACTACCGAGGTGTTAAAAGAGATGGCTAAAAACAATGAAAGACCATTAATTTTTGCGTTGAGCAATCCGACTAGCAAAGCGGAATGCACGGCTCAACAAGCTTATGATCATACAAATGTAAAAAAGTTATCGATATCCATAATATTGTAATCGAATATTGTATCTAAACTAATATTTTAATGATATTTTCAGGGGAAATGTATTTTTTCGTCAGGTTCTCCATTCGGCGATGTACATTATGGTGGAAAAATTTACAAGCCGGGTCAAGGAAACAACGCGTACATTTTTCCTGGAGTCGCATTGGGTGTGATCGCAACTGGATGTCATCATATCACCGAAGATCTATTCCTTCTTTCAGCTCAGGCCGTTGCTGAAAACGTAAAAGACGAACATCTCGAAGTTGGTAGTGTTTATCCACCATTAGGTACTATTCGTGAATGTTCGATTGATATCGCCGTACGAATTGCCGAATATGCTTATGCTAAGAGTAAGTGATTTAAGATAATTTGATTTGAATTTAATTTACATCAAATTTTTTTTTTTTAAATTTTCAAAAATATTTCAATACGTTTATATATGTACATAAGTTCAATATATTTTATTTTTTAGCTGGGTTGGCAAGTGAATATCCAGAGCCCAAGGACAAACGGGAATTTATTGTAAGTAAAATGTATGATGCGAATTACGACAGTCCACTGCCAAACGTTTATGACTGGCCAGGAGACTATGCCAAACCTCGTGTTTTGCCAGATAAGTAAGTATTATTACTATTTATCTAAAAATAAATAATTCTTTTCCCCCATTTTTTTTTTTTTTTATTTTATTATTAATACACTTTAGATTTAGAAAAAAAGAAAGTTAGTAATAACTTTCAGAACTAATTTAGAAATAAGAAGAAATAATATGTAGATTGAATTAATAGAATGAATTTAGAAAAAGGAAATGATACGTGTAAAAAAATTTAGTTTAGAAATAAATAAAATCGAAATGATATTGTGATAATAGGTAGTTAAACAGGGAACTTCATGAATACATTGACACGCATGTGGCTTCTCAATTAACTGTAGTAACGCTGTTGTAATCTTGTAGCAATCTTATTCTATCAGTAATCTAGTAAATATGTATTGCTTCATATATTTGAGAGCATTGCTTAATATAATATAATGATGATTGCTTTTTTTTTCTTAGAAAAATATACTAGCATCTATAGCAGTATATATATTTCTTTTTCATAGTTGTAATTAAATAATTTGATGCAATTAATAATGAATGCTTGATATTAAATTAGTATATGTATATATATACATATATATATATATATATATATATATATATATATACATATATTTATATTTTTTATTTTTATATATATATATATTTTTTTTTTTTGCAAAGCAAAACTATAGTGTTAATTTAAAAAAAAAAACAAAACGTATTTTCTTCGCGAATTTAGCTGTCATAATAATTGCTTATCATAAAAATTGTAATTTTATTTTGTTATTTTCTTAATTTTTCTCTATTGTCAGCTTGTTGCTCGTCAGTAATTGATCTCTCGGTGCAGGCCGCTGAAGCTTAATTAATTTTTTTCAGAGACACTGTCGAAATCCGCCACGATTTAAAACATCTGTAGCGGATTTCATCGAATGGGATATTCAGAGGCTATTACTATTATCGATAAAAATATCGCTATGTTCTGCATTAAAACTATAATAAGGTCGTGGACAAATACAGGCAACAGTGTGATTATAAAACAATTTTAGCTGTAAGAACTGTTACTCTTTCAGTAACTAATGCCAGTACTTTTTACGATATAACTTGCACGAAGTGTTAAAAGCACGAAAAACAATGACATAGTGCTATTATTACAGCATCGAATGTCTCAGTAAGCTAACATTGCAGTATTTTAATGTCCTCCTTCATCCCATATACAGTATTAGGATTGCTAGTTTATTGTTCAAAATCGTGATAGGTATTAAGCACTGAAAGTATTTAAAGAAAGTTTTATGATATTGTTGTTCACTTTTATGTCCTACGATTATGTTATAGAAACAAAACAAAGAAAAAAAGTAATATTATTTCATCGATTGAGATAATCCTATTTAGTTCATTTATGATTTTACACTATACATAATATACAGTATATATTATATACATAATTGAATAAAATTAAGTATTTGTATATGTGAAATTTTTCGATTAATAAATAAAATGAAAAATTTCACGAATACAAAAGTATATATACATAAATTCAAATGGAAATTTTCTTCTTTTATTTTTCTCAATATTTCAAGAAAGATTTTTTTTTTTTTTTTCATAAATATTATTCCATCAGATAATATTATATTTCTGACATTGTATCATATGTTTAAGAATGCCTGATTTTTCCTTTACGGATGATGTCCACATTACCAGAAATCCCCTGAGCTTACTTCCTAATAAATGAAATCATCCATATGAATTGAAGATACGTTTGGTCCAAAGATGAATGAATACTTTATGCACGTTTTAGAGTTATTGAATTTTTAGTTTGCTATATTTTATATATCTATATACACTATTATCAATGCAAATAAAAAATATTAAATAAATATCTTTAAAAGAAGAAACAAATTACAATAAAGTTATACGAAATAATTATTTGTGACTTGTAATACAACACATTTAATCGTTGCAATTAATATGTCGAAACAATAAACAAATAGATTTATTTTATGTTTGCTTAAATATATTTGTCGGATAAGTAAATAATATTTTACAGATAAAATATAAAGTTAAAACCATTGACTGATTGATTCCGAAATAATCAGAAATTAATTTTGATTATTGAGTATCAATATATCACGTGTATAAAAATTATTTTATGAACGATGATGCGTGATCGTGAAATATTTCATATTTAAAAATGTACATTCAATTACATGTTTGTTCCTGAAAATATTTTCGCTGTTTATATTTTCCGGGTGATCATAATTATAAATATATTATAAAGCAATTCTATACGAATTAAATGATATGACATATTTTTCTCTACGTATCAAAGAAAACCTATTTTTCGTGAAAACGTGTATCGCTATATGTATAAATATTAATATACATATTTCAGTCTAAATTTAATAACTATACTTTGATAAATTTCACGTACTATACAATTTCGAAAAAAAAACATATTCACGTATAAAATGTGTTTATTATGTGTCATATAACGTATAATTAATTGTTAGATAGTTAAAATTCCGGTTATTAAGTCGGATATTATGCATAAGAATGTTTGCTGCTATGAATTTGATTGTTTACTTTTAGAATATGGCTAAGTTTAGCCAAGCGACGAAAGCTCAATGTTAAGTAATATACATTAGAACAACGATTAAAAAAGATATCTACGTTCCAATCTGATTTTATATGATACATATGTTGAATGTGGTCGCTTGGTTAATCAAAAAATGTTAAATAAAGTATTATTATGCCATTACTAACCGTATTCTTCTCCCAACAGATTATGACGTGTTGGCGACTCGAAAGACGAGACGACTGCTCTGACATATATACAGTCATTTTAAATTAAATCAAATTTCAAACAGAATGACTTGAAATATGGTTATAGTCCTCTAATCTTTTAAACTTTGATTCTGAATCATCAGAAAATCAAATTTTTTAATCGTACTTTTTTCGCGTATTATACTTTGTATGTACTTATTTATTATTAATTTAAAACTGCAATTATATTTTACGACTGTTCACTAATTTCAAATGCATCATCTCATGTATTTATTTTATTTTTTTGTATCTTTTATCTCTATTTGTATTTAAATTGAACAATTATGTTCGTAAATCAAAAAGTATTATAATATTGTGATACTTTTTTTTTTTAATCATTCAAGAAATTAGTGAATAGTTTATTGCTTGTAGAAATTACGTTTTATATATATATATATATATATGATATATATATATGTATAATATTATCACGTATGTTAATTTTTTTAAAGTTATACTAATAACTTTCTTTTCAAAACGTATATATTGAATAAACGTGTAGAATTTAGCGATATATTATATTTAAAAAAAGCGATTATTATATATAATCATCAAAAGTATACAAATTTCATAACACGAAGATGTCCCGTTAGGTGTACTATGTAAGACCACATAAGTTGTCATCGTTTCTTCGATTTTATATTGCCTTAATAAGCACTATGATTAGAAAAAACAGGACAACTTTGTAAAATTCGTATTTTTTGTACTGTATTGTAATTGTCACTGTTAAGTTAAGTAAATATGAAACTGAAAATTTTGTCAAAAGGTTCCTATATGTTACGTGAAATAGAAACTTTGATGATAACGTCGATTTGATTATTACTGCCACATCACAAATATAATTACCTCATTTATAAATTATTCTGAATTACACCATGTGTATGCATATATTTGGAACGAGAAAAATAAATTTAAATTAGCCGAGTATAACTATTCTCTCGTTAGAATTTGTTATTAAACGTGTATATTATATACTAAACTACATGAATAAATGTTAAAACATTATCGTTAATGCGCTTTTATTTCATTATGTTTCTGCTTCGTTATGATTTAGACGAAATTTTTTTTTAAGATTGAGCAAAAAAAATATTAATTTTCGATTTATTAAAGAAAATGATTTATTATGAAAAAGATTCAATTATGTACATAATTATATAAAATTATCTTCGTTATTAAATATATCTATTTTTTTTCGCATATACATGTATAAAATTTATCTGCATGACAGATGTAATATATTTTATTCATATAAAATGCACTAATGAATTTTAATAAATTCACTTTACACTGGCACATTTGCTTTAAATATATCAATTTGTTTAAATTCTAGTATTTTTTAAATAAATTTTTAAATATTAATTTTATATATAAATATTCAGTAAGTAGGAGTTTTGAGATTATCTTATAAATAATAGAATAAAATTTTAGCAGATTTATTTAGGCACTATCATCAGAAACGTTTGGTTCATAATCAGGATCATCATCGTCATCGTCATCTTCTAATTCCAAATCGTCTAAATTTTGAAATAAACTTTCGTCTACTTTAACAGAATCTAAAAAAAAAAAATCAATATTATATTTCCTTTGAATATTTTCAATGCCTTAATTTAAATTAAATAAGTTAAATATTTTAAAATAATACCATCATCTAAGAACTTCAGATCCGATTGATCTAATGTTTTATCAGTCATAAACAATTCTCTACCAGTTAATTTCTTTCCTTCTCGTTCAGCTATTTCTCTTCTTTTTGTATATCCCATTTCTTCGTCAAATTTTTCTTTCCAACACAAAAATGTTTCAACTGTAACTCGTGTACCCTCAAACTTTTTCTAAAATAATATAAAAATATTTTAAATAAAAGTAACAATAAAATAATCTTTATTTTTAAATTTTTATAGTATAATATCTTACTCTTTCTGCTTCTTCCTCTTCTCTGAGTTTTTGTGCTTCGCATTCTTCCCGGTTTAATTTAATTTTATCCCATTGTACATTAAGCCATTCTTGAGCAGCACTAACTAAAGTAAATACCATAACCATTCCAAGATTTTCATTCATTTGTTCTATTAAATGTTTTTTTAATTTTTCAGTACTATCTTCTTCGAAGTTTTCAGGTTCTTCTATTGATATTAAGAGTGGTTCATCCGGATATTTTTCAGTATATGTAAATTGTAAACAACAACTGAGACCATTTTCAGTACCTGATTCATATTCCTCAGTTTTAATGGGTATGGAAAATGTATAAAATGGTTCTGTTGCTAAAACTAATAGAAAAATTTATTTATAAAAATTTAATAATTAAAATTGTAAAATATTATTTAACATAAGATATATATTTATCATTATGTTTCATTAAATCAATATGATAGATAAAGAATAATTTTAAATTGTAATTTGTGAAATAATAATGTGTTTTATGATATAAAAACAAATTTATAGGTTAATAACTAACGCAAGCATACCTTCCAATTCTCCACAATAAATTGACTCCAAAGCTTCAATTTCATTATGTTGTTCATCTTTATAATCCATGATGATTAAAATAAAGTTAAGTATTAAAAATGTTCTATGTTATTCACTTAATTCAACACTTGCTTTAAGTTAGACGAACTGCACGACACAACGGTAACACCAGAAATGAACGGCGTCGGTACTTGAAGCGGTATTTATACCGTAAATGAAGCGTTCAGCAAATCATCAAATTTTTACCTTCTCGTAATTTGAAAATTTTTAAATAAATTTTACAATTTTAAACATTAATATTATATTATATATATATTATGATTAATTTTCAAATATTTTACGATTAAAAATTCGTATAATATTAAAAATTTATTTATAAATTTCTATATAAAAATTTACTTATAAATTTTTTTATATAAAATTTATAAAAAAACAAAACATATTTTTTTTTAAATTATATAATAATAAATATTTATATTATATATGTTATCTAATCTTATTAATAAATAATAATTTCACATTAAAAAATCATAACTATTATAAATATATATATATATATAAAAATATTATATGTTATATAAAAGAAAATATTTCAGAAGCATAATTTTTTATTTTAATATATCAGTATTTTACAATAATGATTTATGTATTTATAATAATAAAAAGAATTATAATAATTAAAAAGAATTTCAATTGATTCAGATTAAAGTTCAAACAATAAAAATTATACAAGAAGAAATATGAATATTAGAAAACCATAAAAAGAATTTAAAAAAAAATAATTAATGTATATTTAATTTTTTACAAACTTATTATTTCTAATATAAGATTAAATAGATTTTTAATATTAAATTATTGTGAATATAAATTATAATTATATGTGTTAACAAAGGTATAATAACTATCCATAGATTTAGTGCTACATAGAATATTAACTACTTGATTAAATATCTGTATATATATATAAATATATAAGAATACATGATATAAAATAAAAACATAAAAAATATTTTAATATTTTTATTTAAATAATAAAATAAATAATAAAATATATTTTCATCATAATTATAAATAAAAATAAAAATAGATAATTAAAATTTTAAAACTGAAGAACAAACGATGAAAAAAATATTAGGTAAATTCTTGGAATTTTTCTTCAAATAAAAAAGAAATTACAAATAAAATATTGCAATTAAAATAAATTAAATAATTATTTTATAAAATTATCTAAAACTAGAAATTTTTCATATTTTGAAATTCTTAGAGTTAACTATTCTAAGTTTTTCCCCACCCCAACAGTTTACAATTCCCTTCTAAGCCTCACTTTCTCTACCTGCAAATTTCCTTCAATATCTATTTCGGTTTTCAACTCCTAGCTTATAGCATATAGCTTATAGCATCAGCTTAGGCCATTGAACGTCTCTCACTGTAAAAGAATCGCAACAGTTATACTTCATTTTATAGACATATGTTAATCAGAATTGTACAGAGCGCAAGATATATCAAAATCTCCGCATTTTCCAGATCGGCTAAAAGAAGCCCATTTTGAGAAAACGACCATCGGCTCGTATCTATCATTTCTACGTTGTTGCATGATATTGCTGGTAGCGCGCAAAAGCTTTTGCAGCAGATTTAACACGGGCAGAGGCCGTCAGGTGGCCAGGAAAGCAAGCAAGCGCGGAACGCAATCAATACGCTCGCAGAACGCGGCGGTGCCTCGTGCGCGACAGCTCCGGCTGAGCTTTCAGTCGGACGTACGAAAGCGTCGAAAGCTCATGAAAGCTCGTTTCGCTCGCGCGCGTTTTGCCGCGTTGCACCGAATCGTCATCAAGAGGCTATAGGGTGGTGGACTTGACAGCAAGCGGCAAAATGGCGACTGCGATACGAAACAAATGACTTTTCACCAAAAGTTGATTGTGCAAGCTCCGCGTGATACGCTTCGTATACGCCTAAGACAGATTCATATACATTTGGATCAGCTTTGTGCGAAGAGATTCGAACTCGATGAAACTAGTTGGTATAAGAACGTTGTCCATGATTGGAAGATTCGTTAGATTGTCATCAAAGCTCGATCTTTTTTTATAGAAACAATTATCGAGATTAGAAGTAAAGAAAGTGAATGATTAAATCGAAATCGACGATATGATCAACGTGGAGAAATTCGTTCGATGACTATTTGGCCGCGTGAAGTTGAGTTAGCTTGGATTTCCGATTATCGATCCAGGTGATCGATTAGCGTGATGAATATCGATAAAGTGGACTAATGATATTAAAAGGTGGCGTGTGGTACACTGCTTCTTAGCTGAGTGACGATCGCGTCGGTTTTAGCCGGCTTCGATGGCTTGACGAATCTTCGCAACAGTTAACGCGATCCATTTATGCGATCATGCATTTGTACTTCGAAAAGAATAACAATGCCAAGTGCGACTGCAACATCTTGTCGCTTAGCTGGATGGGCAAGGTGCCGGACGAGTCGCCAGAGGTATGTGATTTATTCTTTCAATGGTTCTGTATATTTCATACTATATATTTCATACATTCGTTTTGATAATAATGGCAATCTTGTGAAAATAAATAAATATAATTCAAATATTTAAAAATTGGAAAGTAAGGAAAAGTCATATTGACAATGAGATATGTTATATTTACAATTAAATTTTTTTAAAAAAATTGGAAAAGTATTTTTTCTTTCTTTTCTTAGTAATCCGTTTTAAAAGTTTGATGAAGATTATTGATAGACTTGATTTCTTTATAAATAAATATATTCACTTCTTTAAAATAAAATATTTTGCTGCATCTTCAATACTAATTTTTTTATCGATGGCATAAGAAGACGCCTCAAACCATTATATTGATATTCATAACGAAAAAGCCTGTACTACAGATGTCTACGAGTATCCATATTTTACGAAATCAATTTCACGTGGAGGCAGACCTCCGTTTTAATACGTTTATCGAGCCAATAATAATCCTAATATAACACGATAACATTACATCAACGATAAATAAGAATCAGCAAGTCCCATAAACGCCATACGGTTATTCTATTGCCCATTTCCTACATTTGTTTTTCCTGTGAATTTTTAGATTGTCACTAGGTTATTCTAGAGACACCAAACACGAAACGTTAAATGTCTCGAAAAGTGTTATTTTTTCTCGACGTCGTTGAAACTTTATGCAAATAAAATTTTCAACTTATTCTTTGACTTTATCTTCAATTTATACATTATGATAAAACTAACATGAAAATTATACAATACGATTAATAATTTTCGATTAAATACAATATTTTTCATCTACTTGTTTTAAAAAAATTAGCAATGTTTTTATAAATTCTTTTCACAAAATTTCGCGAAATATGACGAACGAGATATTGATTTACAAAAAATTCATCAAAGTATTCAGATATTCACGAGTATCCATATTTCATGAAATCAATTTCACGTGGAGACAGATCTTCGTTTTAATACGTTTATTCGTTCGGTCGGGGCAAAAGGAATCTCGATGATAAAAAAGTGAACTAGTAGTATCGTCGAGGGATTAATTATCGAAGTTGCTTCGTTAGTTCGCTAGCTAGCTGTATAAGTCCCAGCGGAAACTCAGCATCGCCAACGGCGCATCGTCCACGCTTCGCGCAATATGTATTTTCAAACGAGGGAACGGAAAATGAAAGACGCGCGCGTTTTGCTCGAAGCGAGATGTTTTTATATCGGTCAACGATCCTCTCTCGATCATTTCACGAAAGTGGCGTTCTCGCACCTTCGATCGAGATCGATTTTCGTGATCCCGCTTAACCCTTTACGAACAACGATTTTTTTTTTTTATTTTTATTAAATTTCACAGAAAAATCTGAAAAAATTCTGGAACACTCATTGAAGTCTCTATAATATGCGATATATTATTATTATTATTAAATTAAAAATAATAAATTCGTTATGAAGAGATTGGACGAAATTTTATGGATGTGAAGGAATCGTGGAGAGTTAATAATAGCGGAGGAGAATTTTTGGCCACCGCATCAAAGCGCACTAAGAGAGATTGGAATTCGTTTGGGTGGAGGTGGATGCGGCACGTGGAAGCGGCTCAAGCTCTCGTTCGAGGGCGAGAAAAATTCGAAAGGGGTGACAAAATGTACTTAGGTGTATATGTAGCGTCGACCGCGGCAAAAATAAAGTGTCTCGAGTAGTCGTCTCACAGTCGAGTCCAACTGAACGACCTATCTTTTTCCTTCTTCGTCGCTTTGTACGTGCAGGATGACGCATCGGAGAAGTACTCGAAAAGCAGACATCGAGACGCAGTTATCCTGGTAGGATCTGCGAGAACAATGAGGTGAGATTACACCACTTTGGAAGGATTGTAAACGCTTATTGATTCTTTCATTGGCAGGGTTAACTGTTCCTTTCGATGTGTTGAATGGCCACTCTCTTTTAGCTTTAGCGTGTCTTTCGTGATAAAAGTTTTAAACAAAATTGCTCGACGACAAGATAATATAATATCATAATATCGTTTGTGTTGATTCTTTACCAATTTTCTATTTCTTTTTTTTTTTCAAATTATATTGACAATTCGGAGATAACAGAAATTATAATTGTAAAAAGATAAATATGTAATAATAAAAAAAAAATATTCATTCCGATAACAACTCATAGCTCAAGTGGAATATGACATTAAATCGTATCTGTTGATAATCTTTTCGTTATCGTGAATTCAGTCTAATAATATAGTTATAAAATATAAATGTCTCGATAAATTAAACCGAAAAAAATACACGTTCTTTTTCGTTCTTCAATATTTTTTCGTTATGCGCTATTAAAAATAATATCGTGCGTTATTATTTTTAAATAACAAAATTCAACTCGAAATAATTCTTTGAGAGAGGTGAACGAAAAGAAAGAGGCGAAGCTATGAGCAACGCTCACATCCACGGTTAAGCAGGATTAACCCGATCGAGGGAAAGTTCGATGCACACAGCGGGACGCAATCGATCAGAATTAATTACGCTTCCTGTGTTACTTGATCGACGAATTCTCCTTGCCCGTCAACCGGTCCGTTTCCCAGAATTAATCGTTGATTAATTCGGCCTATTCGCGTATATATATATATATATATATATATATATATATGTATATATCTGGAGATATCGACCAAGGGAAAGGAT